GACGGCGCCGACTGAATGGCATGTCGGACGCAGTGGTCGTCGCTGCTACCGCTGCTGCTGCCGCTGCTGCTACCGCTGCTGCTGCGGCAGTAACCTCCTTGACTACCGTCTTAGACCGCAGATGACACCTCAACTCCATCTCCACTCACTAACCCATCCCATCTCTCTTCGACAGGCAAACGACGGCAAATTCCAGATTCTGCAGCTGGTTGGAATGCTGCGTGGTATTGCAGCCGGCATGCAGTATCTCTCCGAGATGAACTATGTGCACCGCGACCTGGCCGCGCGCAATGTGCTGGTCAACTCACAGCTGGTGTGCAAGATTGCAGACTTTGGCCTGAGCAGAGAGATTGAGAGCACCACAGAGGGCGCGTACACCACACGGGTAAGTGGTGGCGAAGGACTGGTAGGATCGGTGCTCAGTATCCTCGCGAAACGGATGACGTGAGGTAAACAGTTTTGCTCGTTACTTTAGGTCTGATATTTTTCAAATGTGTTTCAGCTTTCGTCACAACTCAGCAATATAGGCAATTATTCAAACAGGTCTTACCTCTCAAACGTTTATTGCAAATTGATGATCATGCTTATTTGCTTTGTTATTAGAGAGCATGCTTACCAGCCATACTCTACCGTCTTTAAACGTATTAACGATCCCCCTTTTTCAAAACACCCCCCTATGCTTGCTTCACCCGTAAATCCCCCTCCAGTGACTGACTTCCTCTCTCCCGGTACGCAGGGCGGCAAGATCCCAGTGCGGTGGACTGCGCCGGAGGCCATCGCCTTCCGCAAGTTCACATCCGCCTCGGACGTGTGGAGCTTCGGCATCGTGGCGTGGGAGGTGATGTCGTACGGAGAGCGGCCCTACTGGAACTGGAGCAACCAGGACGTCATCAAGAGCATAGAGAAGGGATACCGGTAAGGACCGGAGCTAGGGAGGAAGGGAACGTAGAACTGGGGATGAAGGGAACGGGGCGGATTAGGAGATGTGCAGGTAGAGTTGAAGGGTGTATTTGGGGACTGGGTGAGACATAATTGTATCAGGGAGTGATGCTGTCCTCCCACAAGAGCTGACGATGGCTCGGACATAGCACGGATGTATTGTTCTCTGAAGAAACACTGAAACACTGTCAATGTTTTTCAGAGAGCAGCACAGCCGTTCTATGGCCTGTATCGGATAGTCTATTCAGTGTCCCTGTCATTCAACAGCATGTGTTGAGTTCCATCTAAACAGTCTTACCCCGCTGTTCCATCCAACCGTTTGTCGCTACTGTGTACCATTCAAACTGACTGACACCTGTTTTCAAACCGTCTGACCCCACTCATTCCCTCGCCAGACTGCCGGCGCCGATGGACTGCCCGGAGGCGATGCACCAGCTGATGCTGGACTGCTGGCAGAAGGAGCGCGCCCACCGGCCGGCCTTTGCCAGCACCGTCAAAACGCTGGACAGTCTCATCAACTGTCCGGACACGCTGCGAAAGGTGGCGCCCAATAGGTGAGCAGATGAGGAGCAGAGGGATGGTAGGGACGGCGCGTTGGGATAGGGGCTTGAGGTAGTAGATAGTTAACGGGCTGTGTTAATTTGCAGATTTTCTTAGGCATTGCGGCCAAGATCATTGCGGCTTGCTTATGAAGATAATTGGCAGACGTGATTTTTCGTTTGTACTTTTTTTGGGCTTCAAAGCAGATTAGCTGTTTTACGCTATGCTTTATCTGAGGCGAATTAACGAAACGAAAGAAAATTTAAGTAAGTCGTGTGCAATCAAAAGAGAAAGATGTAGCCCACGAAAGAATAAATAAAACGGTACTTGCATAAATAGCGCATCTCCACGTTTTCACCATGAGTGAACGTCATCCGTTAAATGCCTGTTGGTGACGGTCTGTCTCTCTCCCTCTCTCTCCCTCCCCTTTCTCTCCCCTTTGTCTTCTCCGTCCGCTCGGCTGTCGTCGCCCCTGCAGCAGGTCAATGCCAAGTTATGGGCCGTACTATACCACCACATCGTCTTGGGTGCAGTTCACCCCCGAATACTCTAGGTTAGAGTCGATCATCGTCTCTGCCTGTCTCTGCACTGTGTGCGCACGCTTTGCACGATGGTTGCATGCTCTTTGCATGAGAATAGGTACGCTGCACTTTGAGACAGTTGAACTTTTAAACTCGAGGGGACATGAACCATTTTCGTAGCTTTCCGGTTTTCTGAACTTAACTCAGATGAGCTGGATGAGCGTTTCAGCTACCGCAGTTTTCCTCCAATATTCGTTCTTCTGGTCCCTTTCACTTGCACGGCACGACTAATGCAATATTTATTGGCGTAGCTTTCGCTTGCTATCCACATCGCTGAGAAACCTAGCACCTAACCTAGCTTTTGCATCTTTAAAGTTAGGTCACTTTTCATTCAAGCTGACGAAAAACAACTGTACTGTTTGCCGTAATTATATGATCGTTCTGCGCAGTGTGCAACTAACTCAGGCTGTGCATTATGTTCCCTGTCACACTTAACGGCACCGTGGTTCCTGGCATGCTGTTATCTCCGATTGCTTTTTCTGACATTGATTGAGACGTGCCTGCTTGCAATCTTTTTTATGCAAAGTTATTCAGAAATATAATTTCCGCAAGGCCTTTACATTGGTGAATATACACACGTTTACTATTCATTATTTATCTTACATTTTGAATTAACTAGTTTGCAACAGTGGAAATGGGTGGCCAGTAACCACTGCTGCGTAAACAATGTTTATCAACCCGATGAGAGTTGACGGTTGAGAGTTAGCTGGCCTTTATTCAACCCTACCCGTATCTCACGCACCCCTTGCTACCTTCCCTCTGAGTCTGACATCACCGTCTCTCTCGCTCTCCAGGAACACGAACCCGCTGGCCCCGGACGCGCCCGACCTCACCCAGATCACCACTGTCGAGGAGTGGCTGGCGTCCATCAAGATGACCCGCTACTTGGAGAACCTCCAGGGAGCCGGCATCACCAGCATGGATGCCGTCACGCGGCTCACGCACGCCGACTTGCCGGCGCTCGGTGTCACGCTGGTCGGCCACCAGAAAAAGATCATGAACAGTGTGCAAGCGTTACGCGCCCAGATACATGCGAATATGTCTGAGGCGTACTTCGTGTAGTGGTCGAGTGGCGGCGCTAGTGCGGCGCCAAGTCAACGGGCTTTAACGGGCGCCCGCCCGGTGGCGCCGAGGAGACTCATCAAAATGTCATGCCCTCCACAGTTTGTGTGCGCGGACCGCGGACATTCCATAAGCGGTGCAGTGTCCGCGCTAGGTGTTATCGAAGTGCGGCGAGGCGGCGCGCCCGCCTTCCAAAGACATTAATATGAAAGCCTGTGATCTTATGATAAGTGTGCCGTCGGTTCGTTCTCCCCCAGTGTGTCGTCAGCTGTATGTCTAGTCTCCAGTCTGCCCCCCTCGCCGGGACGCTTCGCTCTCCCTCGCCCGTGCCCCCGACTCGCTGTTTCTTTCACGGTGGACACCTGTGATGTTGCCTTTGATCATTTGTACTGAGTTTTATCGCCTGTATTTATGTTTTGTACAAACTGTACATTCGCCAATATGCAAAGCCCTTTATGGTGGTACTGCGGGAGGCGCGCAGCCGTCACTGGCACGGGCATCTCTCGCGGCTCGTGTAGCGATTCGAGCGTTATTGTGTCGTTCGGGCGCTCGCTGCAGCTAGTGTCAGTGTGTGCTGACCGTCATCGAAAGTGTTGTAACGAACGTGCGACGTACGCGTGTGTATGATGCATCAGATTGATATGTGAGTGTCAGTGCCAGCGCAACTGGGAGCAAGGCTCAGCGTGTGTCTACGCTCTGTCGACTGGCGGCCGCTGACTCAAATGCTAGTTCTCCTCGCTGCCCCTGGGCAGCGCTAGGTGCATCTGAAGCAAAGCCAGGGGACGAGTGAGCGAAACTGTCATTTCAGCGGCTTGTCATTCATTAGTTCGATACTAAACAACCATCATATCGAAGCTCCCTCTCCCATCGGTGGTGTTGGCTGCTGTCGATTGGCCCAGCGCGCCTGTCTGAATCCACAGACCCTGTGAATCTGGCGGCCGCTCTAGTTGACAGCTCGCAATTCCACCCGGTTTGTCTGCCATGGTGGCCCGAGCAGAGCGCCCGGGACACCCAACGAAACGTACACGGCTAGTTCCTTTCTGAGAGTGTCTGTATGCGCGACGAGTGTGTGTGTACCGAGCTCGCCGTCTGCGCAGCGACGGTCACCGAGTGCGTTTGGTTGCAAAACACTGTTGTTAACGCACGCGTTATTGGTTGGCGCACTCGAAACGTTGGCTGCCCGTTTCCGATGCTTAAATTTCAGCTTCCTTGGCGTGAGAGGGATCAAGTTTTTGATACATAACGCTGTTGTACTATTTGTATAGAGCTTTGAGTTGAAAATAAATGATGGTATTTGTATGCGGTGACTGTTCCGGTTTGTGAGGGGGGGGAGGCGAAACGCTGAATTCGACCTTGGAAACATAAAATATCAAAATTAGGTTAAACAAATACCCATAAGAATGAAACTAGCGAGCAGAAAATAAAAGTCATCTCTCGACCCTGCTTCGAGCAAAGCGGATCGATAGGTTTATAAAGGATCCAAGCACAGCAAAATACGCATCGAGCTGAAATAAACGGCTTCTAGTTATTAGCGGTCAGGTATTTTAGATTCATTTATGTATCTCAGACAAGTGTAAGGCAATTGCAAAGAAGTGTGGCTCTAACATGACTTGGCTTTGGGAAAGTTCATATCTCAGCAACTATTGGGCTGATTGACTAGAAGTCGTTTTGATTGACAGCTTTACGAGTGTAACTCCTACCAAGTACGAGCTAAAAGAATGACCTGCATAAGTCAGTCGGAGTCTCGCAACGCGCACTTGCGCATGTGAAGGGCTCACTGTGGCCTTCGCTGGTCTGTCGCTTTACAAGATGTCTAACTGAGCTTTCATCGTCGGCCATACCGTGAAGATGAAGATATGTATATGCTAACACCAAACATAAACGACACTGAAATGTATATTTTGTGCACTCATAAACGTTCACAACAAACAGACCAAACAGAAATAGAGCTATTTAGTACATATAAATAGAATTGACAATTTTGTTTGCGGGTATTTAGTTGTAAGCCGGCTTGTAGGCGGGCTGGTAAGCGGGCTTGTAGGCGGGTTTGTAGGCGGGCTGGTAAGCGGGCTTGTAGGCGGGCTTGTAGGCGGGCTGGTAGGACGGAGCGGCGTACGAAGCGGGCTTGTAGCTGGGCTTGTAGCTGGGCTTGTACGCGTCGTAGCGGGCCTCGCCCTCGTAGGTCACCTCGGCGTTGTAGCCTCCGTAGCCCTGCTGGTCAGCCACGTACTTGACCGTCTGCACACGGCCGTCGGGCAGGTTGACCGAGTAGTAGCCGTTGACGTTCTTGGCGTCGCTGTTCTCGTTCTGCGAGAAGACGGCGCCCGAGTAGTGGTCGTTGACGGCGTAGTCGAACTGGTACGGCTGAGCGGGCTCCTTGTAGGACGGCTGGTGGTAGGCGGGGGCCGGTGCGTAGGCCGGGGCCGGGTGGTAGGCCGGCCGGGGGCTGTAGGGGGTGGAGGGGGCGGCGGCAGCCACGGCCACCAGGGCAGCAACGACGAAGAACTGGAAGACAGACAAAGATGGCAGTCAGAAATGGGCAGGTTTACGGTATGTTTTACGGGGACTTCACCTAAACATTTCATTCCGTAAAATTGGAGACTGTAAAATGTTCGAAAGCGGACACGGTGAGATCAATTTATTAGTAGGTAATACAGCCGAATTGGGGTTCCTTCATAGAACTTTTATTCGTAGGCCATATGCACTCAGAAGAACGGTATAGGCATTAGGTAAAGGTTTATACTAGTTCTGTGTAAAGAACTGACCTTCATGTTTGCAGATTGGGTCTTTGGCGACTGATACTGTGAACGATGGACCGGCCTGCCTTTATACCAGCCAGCGACCGTAACCTTGGGCATTGGAGGGAGGGCGGGGCCGGGGCCGAACAGTTAGATGTGGAACACTGTAGGTACGGTTCACTTGTGCAGGGAAGGGAAGGGAATTATCGTATGAATTCATCGGCATTTTTTCATGTGCCCTTTTTCTTTCGAATAGTTTGATCTGATTCTGCAGAATCATTTCAATATTTGCACTTTATGGAGCATAGCTAAATGGCTTCGGTATGCTGTCTTGATAGCCTTTGCCGTTGAGCTTCTTTCGTTTTAATTCAGGTACCTACGCAGAAGTCTTCCAAACATTTATTTGCTTTGTATGCAGCAGCTGGCAAGAATGTTACGACCACGGACGTATAAATAAACGTCCGTTTATTTATACGTCCGTGGTTACGGCAGCCGCTTGGGCAATATTTTGTGCTTGAGAAATGTTGTTAAAAGAAAGACAAAGCGCGAATGCTTCACTCTACAACCCTTTACAAGTAAATGCCGCTAATTCTTTTAGTAGTTCTTTTTTAATTTAACGCCCATCAAATTGCATAATTTTGGTGTCCAAGTCGACATTATTATATACAAAATCCGCAGTTTATCGTACATAATTGTTTGACATAACACTTGGAAGAGACGCTAAAATGAGGAAACTATGAGATTCCGTGCGGGTTTTACATTGCATTGTAGGGAAGACCAGGGCAAAGCGGCCACCTTAACACTTTTTATGATGCCGACACTTGATTTTAAAACTTTTTTAAACTTGGAACGATTATTTTACTCCAATGTGATCCCTACTAAATTGCATTTTATTTCAACTTTGTTTTATTTCTAAAGGCCTTCACAATTCACATATAGGATATTTGTAAAGCATTCAATGTTTCGCTTTTTTTTGCCGCTTGGCCCCAAACCCCGGGGCGAAACGGACACCGGCGACTTATTTGTCCCGACATGAGACAGCATAATTGACTCATGTACGGAAAGTGTTTTTGATGGTAAAAAGGTTTAAACGAGGATAAATTTCTCATCTTCCAACTGTAGGTAGACAATGCAAGGACATTCATGGACAAGCTTTGAACTGCATTTTTGGGGGGTCAAATGTGTCCGATGTGATGTGTCCGATGAAATGTGAAATGTGTCCAAAAAGTGGCCGAGATGAGCGCATGACGATACATTTCAATATCAATAACGTTTGTTGTCCATTAAGTTGAAGCAGCTTATCAAGTACGGAGCAGCCATTTTGCAACAGCAGCCACTCTGCCACATCCACTTTGCCACGTGCCTACCAAATCCCCCAGCAGCGCTGTTATTAGTTGCGCAAAATTCACCTGCTGCGAATTCACTGCTTCTGCAGTTCACCAATTCATCGCAAACACACAGCTGCTCGGTAGAAGTTCAATGTCAATTGTCACAAGTTTATCAAAGTCCGGTTCAAATGAAGCTCAGTGAATCGCAATAACTATGGTTAATTAGGTGGAGAGGCGTTAGCTGTTTTCACGACGGGTAATCGGACGAATTCGCAAATTTGACCAAATCTGCATCAGATCTCTTTTACAACAAATATCTTCATATCATGACATTTTTTCAATGTTTTAATCGAAAATAAAGCCTGATAGTTTAAAAAAATGTGGGTATAAACAACTACGCAACCCAAACTGATATTTTCTAAGAAATACAAGCTTATTTTGACTAAATGTGCACCCAATTTGCACAAAATATGAGCCAAATGTGTACCAGATAGCCATCGTGAGAACGGCTACTTTGCTACAAGCGGCTTCAGGTCAAACGAGATATTCACACGGTCAAGCTAGTGTTTTGCAGGGAAAGCTACTACGATCCATTAGCTATCGAATGATGTGCTTTGATCGTGTTTTTTTCCTACACCTCTATTCAAGAACCACTGTGCAGCTATTTTTGTTTTACATGGCCCATAAATTACTTTAGGTCAGTCCGTGACTTTTTAACCCTCGCCCGCACATGCCATTTTCCCATCCTAGAACGCACATGGGGGGGGGGGTTGCCACCCCCCGCGCCATTTCGTTCCTGTTGGAGATAGAGCTTAGCGGTAAAGACCAAAAAAAAATTCTTTGGGAGGAGACGAATCCAATGATACCCAGTTTTACCTTCTCAGGTCAGTCATTGACCTTCCAGGTCAGGTCAAACAAAAAAATGTTGCTGTTTTGGGTCACCGTTGGATATCAAGTGCGCTGCTTAGCATATACCGATGACGATGCCGTTTTCTGGTTCCAAGCCAGCTAGAAGCTCTTACTCACTCTACCCGACCAGGTTTTTGCTGCTGAGGTCATTTCAGGTCAAGTTAGGTCAAGGTCAATTATATGTGTTTGTATGTCTGTGTGTGTCTGTGTGTATACTGATGTGTGCACCGATTGTTTATGGGTCCGTATTACGTGAAATCATGATCTGAGAAGCTTTTACCAAAAATGCAGTCAAAAAACTTCACAAAAAGTAATTTCCGCTTGCCTAAAACGCAATTATCTTAGATGACCTAGGTACCTTGACATCTGTACATCGTTGAACAACATGTTCCATGATAGGTGGGAGGGGTAAGACTGGCAAAAAAGTCCGAAATCAAGGTGTCAAAAGCTCACAAGGCCTATAGCCAACGCAAGATGTTGAGAATTGGCCATTTGGGTCATGACATGACCTGAAAAACAAGGTCATATCTCCGAAACCAAAAACCACAGAAACGTGAAATTTTCAGTGGACATCCAGAAAGGATTGAGGAGCAGCTATACGAAAAATCAGCCTTCTAGCTCTAAAAATGTTGAGTGCAGAGCAGAAAGACTACCTGGGGGGGTGGCAACCCCCCCCCCCCATGTGCGGGCGAGGGTTAAGGAACACTTGATCGTGTGAGAGGAGTTTAAATGACATTTTGAGTCGGTTGATCCAGTGTTCAAGCTCTACTGGGTGGGTCAAAACTGCAATGCTTATTTGGAGACCTATGTTGGTCTCTTTAACCCGCGCCCTGCTGAGGGGCTATCCCCCCCCCCTCCTCCAGACTTTTCGATATATCTCCAGAACCGCTGCGTCGATCGTCATCAAACCTTCAGTATTTATACCCTCCCGTGCATCAATTTTACACATTGTGACCAAAATTTTCCAAAGGCTATGATAGATGGGCCGCAAATGACGTAAGAGTGGCGTCATGTTCAGCCGTTTTCGACAAAATAAAAAGTTTGGCGAGAAGAGCTGCAGGCCTACAGCTCTGAAGAAACAGAAAAAATGTTTAAGTCATAAAAGGTGTAGAATTACCAGGGCTACAAAACTGCTATCTCGGATTTTTAAATGTTTTCGAATTTTGACCCCCTATTTTTTAACCCGCGCCCCGTAGGGCTATCGGCGGACCCTACCACCCGTAGGGGGGGGGGCGTTTCGGCCCCCCCCCTAAGATCTCGGAAAGTTACCGGCCGATTTTCAAAATTCGAACGGCGTTCGATAGCCCCACCCGGGAACTACCTTGTGACCAAATTTCATTGACCTAGGTCAAACCGATGACGTCACAGGTCAGGTCAAAGGTCAGATTTTCACCGTTCACAGGCATTTCAAGAAATGTGTTGTGAAATCGAGTTAATTGGTAATTTATTGAAAACCATCGATGGTACATTGTTCGTCAAACACATACTTTGCTATCTGAGGTCACTGATACCAGGTCAGGTCACAGCGAGGTCAGGTCACCGGGGTCACAATATGAAAGTGTCGTGTGATACATGTTTTATGGTCCATTTTACATGACAAATGCGATTATGTGGGTTAGGCAGCCTTTGGGGCCAGCCTAGGTCACGTTTTGGTGAAGGTCAGGTCAAGGTCAGGTCAAATAAGGTCAAATTTCAAAGTTGATATTTTTGCATAAAATGGGTATCTATTCGATGCAGCTCGTCACGGGGAGTCTAATGGTGGTCTTTGTTTTGCTCTACGAGGTCTAGAACTGCCAAAAATTGAGTTTGAAAATTTGACGTCATCAATTTTGAACAGTTTTTTTGCTATAACTTGGCCAAAAAACGAGGTATCGATCTGAAATTCGGTATGTAGATAGAAGACGGTAGGTACTATCACATATATTCCGTTTTTTTAAACTCAAAAAACTTTTTGGATTTTTTGGCTAATATATCTAAAAAAATGTTTTTTTATTTTTGGGGTTCAAAACTCAAAAATTTCAAAAATCCGAGATAGCAGTTTTGTAGCCCTGTAAATTCTACACCTTTTATGTCTTGATCATTTTTCTGTATCTTCAAAGCTGTAGGCCTGACAGGTCTTCTCGCGAAGGTCTTTATTCGGTCGAAAATGACAGAACATGACGTCATTCTGACGTCATTTGTGGCCAACCTATCACAGCCTCTGGAAAATTTTTGGTCACAATGTGTAAAATTGATGCCCGGAGGGGTCCTGAAAGTTTGGTGGCGATATCTGAAGCGGTTTAGGAGATATCGACCGAAAAGGACGGGGGGGCCGTTTCGGCCCCCCCCCCCTACGGGGCGCGGGTTAATATAATTGCAAAAATTCCTTTAAGTTTTTCGATTCTCGAAAAAAAAAACGGAATATATGTAATCACCCTTACCGACTTCTATTTACATTCTAAATTTCAGATCAATGCCTATTTTTCGGCCAAGTTATACAAAAAACCTGTTCAAAATTGAAGAAGTCAAATTTTCAAACTCATTTTTTTAAGCAATTCTAGACCACGTAGCGTAAAACAAAGGCCACCATTAGACTCCCCATGACGAGCTGCGTCGAATTAATACGCATTTAATGCAGAAGCATCAACTTTGAAATTTGACCTTTTTTTTACCTGACATTGACCTGACCTCCACTAGGAAGTGACCTTAACCGATCCTGATGGTCTTATAGCCAACAACATTGAATTTGAAATGAAAAATTGGCCATAAAACATGCATCACACAGCCCTAGTAAAATTGTGTTCATGTGCTGGCCTGGTGACCTGACCTGTGACCTGACCTGGTA